TATTTTTTGTGACATAATAAATGTTAAAAACAAGTTTTGACTGTAAATGTCTTAGTGGAACTGTTACTACTACATAAAAGATAGTTGTTTTACTTATTTATACACGACCAATAGGTTTATTAGTACATAAAGTTGCGCATGTTTTGTTTGATATATTACTTAAAGTTGTTTGCCAATACCTAATGACATGTATTAAAAAGTTTTATTACTACATAAAAAGTAATTATATGTTTAGATATACGAAAAAAGAAACAATTGACTGTTTATTTATTGAATGAAGAGCAATGTTTGTTACAGCGAGAGTTTTAATTAATGCACAAAGAAGTTCTAAAGAGTAATTCTTTATATAAAGAAGGTTTAAAGAGTGCAAATGTTAATTAAGTTATATTGAAAAGTATTATTGTTGTCTTAAAGAGATTCTTTAATGCACGAAGATGTGTTAGAATGTTTCTTTAATGCAAGAAGGTGAGAAGAAATAGTAATTTGGATAGAAATTTACTTTGATGAATCTGAGAATAGCCTTGATGACTCTGAGTGTGACTTTGATAACTCTGAGAATAACGTTTGATGACTTGAATAGTATTTTGGCGTCTTTGATATTATCTTTGATGACTCTGGGAATAACTTTTGATTTATATATTTTTTTTTTTTTATTTATATATATACAAGAAGGTACATTGGGATTGTGAGGATACATAATATGGTAATTACAATCTTGTAAAGCCACTAGTACGCGCAGCGTTTCGGGCAGAAACGATGGTATTAATAGTATTCTTAATGTCTTTGAGTGTGTCCTTGGAAAATAAAGATGACATGAGAGTATCATCTGATGCCCAAAGATGTTTCTGAGAGCAACTTTAGTTTATAAAATATTATGAGTAAATTACCTTTGACTGTTTCTCGAACTCAACGAAGCATAATGGTTATCTTCTTGAGGTTATCTTGAGATGATTTCGGGGCTTTAGTGTCCCCGTGGCCCGGTCCTCGACCAGGCCTCCACCCCTAGGAAGCAGCCCGTGACAGCTGACTAACACCCAGGTACCTATTTTTACTGCTAGGTAACAGGGGCATAGGGTGAAAGAAACTTTTGCCCATTGTTTCTCGCCAGCGCCTGGGATTGAACCCAGGACCACAGGATCACAAGTCCTGTGCTGTCCGCTCGGCCGACCGGCTCCCTGTCGGTCGGGTAGTTAAGAAAAGAAAGGTAGTTAGTTAAGTTAAGGTGGTAGGGTGGTAGGGTTAAGGTGGTAGGTGGTAGGGTTAATGCACCCGCCAAATCCCCTGTTTATGAATGAAAAACGGTTTACACACGACTCACAACTGATGAAGTTCGAACACTTCCGGAACAAGTGCTTCACTGACGAATTTTGTTCGACCCACAACGCTGTAAATGCTCCAGCCCGTCCTCCAAACAAAGATCCAAAAGTGATTCCATCCACCCGCCAAACCCCCTGTTTATGAATGAAAAGCGGTTTACACACGACTCACAACTGATTTCGTTCGAACACTTCCGGAACAAGTGCTTCACTGACGAGTTTTGTTCGAACCACAACGCTATAAACAGCCCGTCCTCCAAACAAAGATCCAAAAGTGATTCCATCCACCCGCCAAACCCCCTGTTTATGAATGAAAAGCGGTTTACACACGACTCACAACTGATTTCGTTCGAACACTTCCGGAACAAGTGCTTCACTGACGAGTTTTGTTCGAACCACAACGCTATAAATGCTTCACCCACGTACTACAAATGCAAATAATCGCCAACCGAACCTAAACACCTAACCTAACCTAACCTATGCCTATATATGCACAATATGCTAATATATTATAATATTAATTTATATTTGAGAAAATTCTTGTTTTGAATGAACAGCATGTTAAAATTTATGAATGCGTCTGTGGGGTCGACCGCTGGATGTAATGGACTTGAGTCGAGGACGGTTGCTGAAATGCTTCACCCACGTACTACAAATACAAATAATCGCCAACAGAACCTAAACACCTAACCTAACCTATGCCTATATATGCACAATATGCTAATATATTATAATATTAATTTATATTTGAGAAAATTCCCGTTTTGAATGAACAGCATGTTAAAATTTATGAATGCGTCTGTGGGGTCGACCGCTGGATGTAATGGACTTGAGTCGAGGACGGGTTGTTAAGAACAGTGTTGAAAGATTCCTATTTTTTTTTGGACTGAAAGAAGGATAATAATAGTTGCGAATGTGTTGAGAGAAATTACACTTGACTATTTTCAGTTTAGAGAAATGTTATTTTAGTTAAGAAATTGTGAAAAAACGATACCTTAAACTAATCTAAGTTGAGATAAGTGTTATCTTAGTTAAGAATGGTGTTGCTAAGATATATTAAGTTCATAAAAACACGACAACAACATTGACATAGTTGTGGAAAAAATCAATTTCGGTAAATGGATAAATAAATACTTTGTAATTAAATAATTTGTCAAAAACTAAATAATTTGAAAACTAAATAATTTGTAATAAATAACTTTTAAATGGATAAATAAATTTGTAAATAACTAAATACATGACTAAATAAATACTTTGTAGTAACATATTGATCATCAGTAATACGATTGATAATATATAACTATGAATTATTTTGTATGACAGAAACAATCGTATATTTAATTTTAAAGAAACGAGAAGATGTAAGAGAATGCGATGAACACAATGAACATGATAGAAATATGAATTGAACTTGCAAAGATCATGAAAACATAAAAAAAATATATAGAGCATATGCTGTGAACATGGAGAGAACACACACACATATACGGTAAGATTATTGGTAGTAGCCACATTTCAAATTCTTGCGAGGCAGAGTTGAGAATGGATTTGGAGGGAGGTGAGATTTGGGTGGAGTTGGGGTAAGGGAAAGATGTAGGGGTGAGGGAAGGGAAAGGGAAGATAAGGGGTGAGGGAAGGGAAGGGGAAGATAAGGGAGTGAGGGAAGATAAGGGGGGGTGAGGGAGATAAGAATTAGGATGGGGAGAGGGGAAATGGAGGGAGAGGGGAGGGGGGGAGATAAGGTGTGTTTGACAGTGTGATAATTAGCTGGTAGTTGATGATTTACACAGGTGTGAAGGAGCGGCTGTGACTTTTGTTTACTCTGATAAAGGTAATAAGCGGGGAGTGGGTCTGATGTTCTGGAATATCTAAGTTTAATGAATATTGAACTAAGGCGGAGGACGGAAGCTGAAACTCGGTAACTGCCTTGATTTTATTTACCGAGTCGGAAATACAATGGTGTTAAATTTCAGGTAAACTAGACACTAATGAGGTTACGAGAGTGATCTAAGGCGGGGACAGGAGTTGGAGCTCGATAACTTTATTTTCTTTTATTACTATGTCTGAATTATTACTATTTTAAATCTCGAGAAAATTGATCTGATAACAGCGGAGTAGTTCCAATGAACTAAGGTGGAAGACAGGAGCTGAAACGTGGTAACTCTATTGTTGTATTTTACTACGTCCGAAATACAGGGGTTTTAAATTTTAGTCAAATTGATCAGTTATTAACAATGTTGTACGAATGAAGTAAGGCGGAGACAAGAGCTGGAGCACGGTAACTTCCTTGATCTTATTTACTATGTACGAAATACAGCAGTTTTAAATTTCAGGGAAATTGGACTGATAGTAGCGAGTTAACTAAGGCAGAGAATAGGAGCAAGAACTCGGTAACTATTTTCTTTTCTTACTACGTCTGAAATATGACTTTTAAATTTGGCGACTAGTAGCGAAACTACACTTATTAACGTATAGAGCCGGGTCCAAGAACTAACTTCTGATACTATGAATTACTTTGTCAAAACATAAATTTAAGTCCGTAGAGTTTATTTTCTCATAAAGATCTCTTTAATTCCGCAGGTCATCTTTCCGCAGGTCATCTCTTATCTTGAGATGATTTCGATGATTTCGCTTAGCGTCCCCGCGGCCCGGTCCTCGAACAGGATTCCTTTTTGTTACACACCCCCAGGAAGCAGTCAGTAGCACCAGTCTAACTCCCAGGTACCTATTTACTGCTAGGTAACAAGGGCATCAGGGTGAAAGAATATCTGCCCATTTGTTTCTGTCTCCACCGGGGATCGAACCCGGAAACTCAGGACTACGAATCCGAAGTGCTGTCAACTCAGCTATCAGGCCTAAGTAAAACTGAAAATAAATAGAACCGGGTCCAAAAACATAGGATACTGTGAATTACTTAAGAAACTGCTAATGGACGTATTCTCTGAAAATGGGAACTCTTTAATACTGTAGGTGTAAGAAAAACCTCGAAAATATTTTGTTTATTTTTCTCCATAAGAATTCTTTAACAAACTCCTAATAAACTATTTCACAAAAAATTACCTTGATACGATTTCCTACAACGGGACTCTCGTTTTTAGAGTAGTTAACAAATGGAATATACTAGGAAGTGATGTGATGGAGGCCGGCAGACTCCATACACAGTTTCAAATGTAAATATAATAGAGCCAGGAGGCCTGGAGGAACCAGGAGGCCTGGTCGACGACCGGGCCGCGGGGACGCTAAGCCCCGGAAGCACCTCAAGGTAAGGAGCCCAGTAAGCTCAGGAATCTGTACACCAGTTGAATGACAGTTGAGAGGCAGGACCAAAGAGCCAAAGCTCAACCCCACCGCAAGCACAATTAGGTGAGTACACATTTCTCCGTCATGCGTGAGAAAGATTAGGTTACTTAAGGAAAATTGACGGGAGAAAAACAGGGAAATATTCGAAGGTCAAATACTTGATACTTTCTGTTCATACCAATACGCTTTTACAGAAAAACGCATTTAATAACCAGATTATCACCAAGGCACTAAGAGCTCGGTTTCAAAGTAAAGTACAACATTGATTTGACATGACCTCTTTGACCCACTGCAGCCTCACTAAGACTCCTCATACGTCAATTCACTTCAGTCTATTCGCCAACAATTTCTCTCAACAAATGTCAAATCTTGTGTGAGACTCACCTCTGGAAAAATCCTGCGTCAAGAGGAAAATAACACTACAGACGTTCTGGGTGAGAGAGCGCGTGCGTTCCCCTCACGTGACGACGGTAAACTGTGTGTTGAAGGTCTCCTGGGCCAGTCCTGGCTGGCCCCTCGTGGTTGCCAGAATAACCCGGAGCTGACAACATAAACACTGCTGTGGGAACTGCATCCTGCTGAGTACAATACAATATGTTTCCTACTATGCAAGGACCGGCTTGCCTAATAAGCAAACTTTTCCTGAAGTTATATATTTTTTTATTTTTTCTCATAAAATGATAAAGCTTTCCGTCACATTATTTATTAATTTTAGTTAAAATTAAGGTACAAATATGACCAAGCCTAACCTATCTTCCCTAACTTAACCTACGATAAACTAATATAAACTAACATAACTAAGTCAGGAAATCATGTTCTTTATATTGTACATTAATATTTACATAAATAAAGCAATTGGAAACAAATTTTTGAAAATAACCAAAATCACTCTGCCTATTAGGCAATCGGGCTATGCATACTAGTCCGAGTAGTGCGTTCTGGCTATTAGGTACGACATATATATGAAATAGAAGCATGTAGTATTTTAGCCACTTATAAACCTTAATTGATCTGCAACTGCATAGACTGCACTGGTAATGCCCCGTCCACACATACTGGCACCGTCCACACATACTGGCCCCGTCTACACATACTGGCCCGTCCACACATACTGGCACCGTCCACACATACTGGCACCGTCCACACATACTGGCCCCGTCTACACATACTAGCACCGTCCACACATACTAGCACCGTCCACACATACTGGCCCCGTCCACACATACTGGCCCCGTCCACACATACTAGCACCGTCCACACATACTGGCCCCGTCCACACATACTGGCACCGTCCACACATACTGGCACCGTCCACACATACTGGCCCCGTCCACACATACTGGCCCCGTCCACACATACTGGCCCCGTCCACACATACTGGCCCCGTCCACACATACTGGCCCCGTCCACACATACTGGCACCGTCCACACATACTGGCACCGTCCACACATACTGGCCCCGTCCACACATACTGGCCCCGTCCACACATACTGGCACCGTCCACACATACTGGCCCCGTCCACACATACTGGCACCGTCCACACATACTAGCACCGTCCACACATACTGGCCCCGTCCACACATACTAGCACCGTCCACACATACTAGCACCGTCCACACACACTGGCACCGTCCACACACACTGGCACCGTCCACACATACTGGCACCGTCCACACATACTGGCACCGTCCACACACACTGGCACCGTCCACACATACTAGCACCGTCCACACATACTAGCACCGTCCACACACACTGGCACCGTCCACACATACTAGCACCGTCCACACATACTGGCCCCGTCCACACATACTGGCCCTGTCCACACACACTGGCACCGTCCACACATACTGGCCCCGTCCACACATACTGGCACCGTCCACACATACTAGCACCGTCCACACATACTGGCACCGTCCACACATACTGGCACCGTCCACACATACTAGCACCGTCCACACATACTGGCACCGTCCACACACACTGGCACCGTCCACACATACTAGCACCGTCCACACATACTGGCCCCGTCCACACATACTGGCCCCGTCCACACACACTGGCACCGTCCACACATACTGGCCCCGTACACACACACTGGCACCGTCCACACATACTAGCACCGTCCACACACACTGGCACCGTCCACACACACTGGCACCGTCCACACATACTGGCACCGTCCACACATACTGGCACCGTCCACACATACTAGCACCGTCCACACATACTGGCACCGTCCACACACACTGGCACCGTCCACACATACTGGCACCGTCCACACATACTGGCACCGTCCACACATACTGGCCCCGTCCACACATACTGGCACCGTCCACACATACTAGCACCGTCCACACATACTGGCACCGTCCACACATACTGGCACCGTCCACACATACTGGCACCGTCCACACATACTGGCACCGTCCACACACACTGGCACCGTCCACACATACTAGCACCGTCCACACATACTGGCCCCGTCCACACATACTGGCCCCGTCCACACACACTGGCACCGTCCACACATACTGGCCCCGTCCACACACACTGGCACCGTCCACACATACTAGCACCGTCCACACACACTGGCACCGTCCACACACACTGGCACCGTCCACACATACTGGCACCGTCCACACATACTGGCACCGTCCACACATACTAGCACCGTCCACACATACTGGCACCGTCCACACACACTGGCACCGTCCACACATACTGGCACCGTCCACACATACTGGCACCGTCCACACATACTGGCCCCGTCCACACATACTGGCCCCGTCCACACACACTGGCACCGTCCACACATACTGGCACCGTCCACACATACTAGCACCGTCCACACATACTAGCACCGTCCACACACACTGGCCCCGTCCACACATACTAGCACCGTCCACACATACTAGCACCGTCCACACACACTGGCACCGTCCACACACACTGGCACCGTCCACACACACTGGCACCGTCCACACATACTGGCACCGTCCACACACACTGGCACCGTCCACACATACTGGCACCGTCCACACATACTGGCACCGTCCACACATACTGGCACCGTCCACACATACTAGCACCGTCCACACATACTGGCCCCGTCCACACATACTGGCACCGTCCACACATACTAGCACCGTCCACACGTACTAGCACCGTCCACACATACTGGCATCGTCCACACATACTAGCACCGTCCACACATACTAGCACCGTCCACACATACTGGCCCCGTCCACACATACTAGCACCGTCCACACATACTAGCACCGTCCACACACACTGGCACCGTCCACACACACTGGCACCGTCCACACATACTAGCACCGTCCACACATACTGGCCCCGTCCACACATACTGGCCCCGTCCACACATACTAGCACCGTCCACACACACTAGCACCGTCCACACATACTGGCACCGTCCACACTTACTAGCACCGTCCACACATACTAGCACCGTCCACACATACTGGCACCGTCCACACTTACTAGCACCGTCCACACATACTGGCACCGTCCACACTTACTAGCACCGTCCACACATACTGGCACCGTCCACACTTACTAGCACCGTCCACACATACTGGCACCGTCCACACTTACTAGCACCGTCCACACATACTAGCACCGTCCACACATACTGGCACCGTCCACACTTACTAGCACCGTCCACACATACCTTTAAACTCATAAACAAGACGGTTAAGTAATTTGACACTTCGCTATAACCTAAGAACTAACATTAAGAATGACTGCGTTGTCCGAACTATGAACTGTACAAGTATTAAAGACATGTATATCATAGAGACTCCTCAGTGTAATATTATTTTCACGTCTGTAAGTTTGAACCTTGTGAGTGTGTGGGTCTTTGAGCTTGTGAATCCATGAGTGTGAGTTTTGTGAATCTTTTGAGTCTCAGTGTTGGACGCACTTGGTCGCACACAGCTCTCAACTCTGCAACATTTGTCAACAGCAGCGTCAAAGTGCTCGCGGATGTGCATGTTGGCCAAGCGTGACTAGACCCCGACGACCAGACCGTCTTGAGCACCGGTGATGTGCACACGTTCACGCTTGACAGCTAGCTCCTGGCCAGTAGATATTATATATCTTCACAATAAAACGAAGAAAAGGCCAAAGCTGTTTATACTGCATTCCTCACCACTACCAGAGAGCTACAACCCACAACCACAACAACACGTAATATGAGTCCATGAGTTTTGTGAGTCCGCGAGTCTATGAGTGTGAGTTCTGTGAGTATGTCTTGTGAGTCTACCAGCTTTTGAGTCTGAAGCTTGTGAGTGAGTTTTGTGAGTATGTATATGAATCTTGTGAGTCTGTGGGTATTATGAGTGAGTTTTATCGTCCTCCCTTATTACAGCATCTGTAGAAAAAAGGACTGATATTAAGGCATATTTCAGACTTTTCAGATCTTACATTTTTAACTTCTTACTGGCTACTGTATACAACTCTAGAACATTATAGATATAAAGGTTTATGAAGATGCTGAACAAGCTCCGACCTACAGACCAGGGCTGTTGAAAAAGCCAGCCTTGTAAATGCAACAAATCTAGAAGTCATATACGGCTTTTATTGATTGGCATGTTTCGAAATTGGTATTAGAAGCATTAGGCTCATTAAAAAAAAGTAAAAAAAAAATGTTAATTGGAAGGTCAGTCTGCAAAGATTTATAGAGCATTTTCAACCTTGTAAGTTTGGAGAAATGGTATTTTTTTTAAACATTGAAAAGTAATCATTTAATCTTGAAAAGGTAACCTGAAAAAGTTATTTTTAAACTCTTTAAGGTTAACTTCTCAAGGTAATCTTTTAACCTTGAAAAGTTAACCTTAAAAAGTTTTTAAACCTCTGAAAAGTGGAGTATTTTCAACTTTGAAAGATGAGTCCGGAGCAGCGGTCCGTAGTGTGGGGGAGCGAGAGGCCGCTCTGGGGTGCAAGGTTTGCTTCGCTTTACTGTGTGTGAGTGTAGTCACCTAGTTGTTTTTCACATATTTGTTTTTTCACTTAGTTGTGCTTTGCGGGGGTTGAGTTCTGCTCTTCCGGCCCACCTCTCAACTGTCAATCAACTGTTACTAATATTTTTTTCACACACACACACACACACACACACACACACACACACACACACACACACACACACACACACACACACACACACACACACACACACACACACACACACACACACCGAACCTGCCCCATCCTCTGGCAGTCCCCCACTAAGTACCCACCTAGGGCACCCTCCCCACACCCACCCCCCTCCTCTCACTCACCGCTCTCCCCAGGACCTCCCTTCTCCCCCATCCCCCAAGCCCTCTCTTCTCCCACATGCCTTCCCGTCTCTCCCACCCCCATGCCCTCCCTTCTCCCCCGCCCCCCTAAGCCCCCCACTCTCCCCCACCCCACCTAAGTCTTCCCCTCTCCCCCACTCCCTTAATCCCTCCCCGCTTCCTCACCCACCTCAGCCCTCCTTTTTCCCCCACGCCCCCAAG